CGATTCGAACAGCGGCTTCGAACGTGGTGGGATATTCGCGGAACAGTTGAGTCCGCGCGGGGCCTTGATTCAACCCGGCCATGTTACACAGTGACGCGCATCGCTTCAGGGAGCGATTCTTCGTCGTTGACGTTCTCTGCCAAAAAGCGAAGGTCGTGGATGTATTCTTGGAGGGAGCGCTTTTCTTGTTTGCATTAAAAAAACTTGGTGCGATAGCAAAAGTCGCTATTGGGGGACAAAAACGTAGACTTCATTTCATGCATGAAGTCGTCGAGGGAGGGAAGGCACAAAGGGTCCGTGAGGCGTTTGGAAAACGCCCAATCTTCGGCACGGCCTTTCAAGTGCGACATCGCGAAAGCGACTCGAGTGTCGTCGTCTAGGATACGCTGTGCGTTCGCAGCGGTCTCAACTTGGAGGATCCAGCGGAGGAGTTTGTCGGACTCCGCTCCACCGAATTTCGTGACCTCGAGCTTGATCGGCTTCAGCCGAGAGGGGCTTTGTTGTTCGGATGTATGGAGCGCGTACGTAAGGCGCTCGACTTCAGTCGCGCTGCGTGCGAGTGACTCTTCAAAAGTACGACCATGGGCTGCCATGGTGGATAGCTGACTTTCGAGAGCGGCGTGAAGTGCAGTCAGGGGGGTGACAGCATCCGTGACGGCTTAGTCGATAAGTCGACCGATGCCCTCCACCAGACGGGCTTGGTTCTCGGGGGAGAGGCCACCGAGAAGGGTTGCGGTGTCTTGTTCGCCGAACACCAGGTACATGCGGTCGAGGACCAGTTGATGCGCTGGCGTAATGGGGGTGGAGGAGGAAGACATAGGCCGTGGATGAACCAGGAAGTGCTACCAGGTGTAAGCGTGCGTGCGCAGAGGAAGGCGCAGTAGATGGTAAAATCAGAAGTGAATTGATAGCGTTATAACAATCTAACGCTATGACTAAGCTAAGCAGGACCAGCCATCTTGAGCTGGTAAACATAAAGGGCCGGGGGTGGTCCGAACAAAAGGGGCGGCGAACCCTTTGCTGTTTCCTTGGCACGTAGCGGCGTCGTTGGCCGCTCGTGGGTTTGGGTCTGACTTTATCTTCAACCTGTGTGCCGTGGTACAGCCACGTGGATCCGGATCTTGTATCCGGAACTGTGACAGAGTTGCTCTAAGAGCAACTCCACCAGTCGGAGTTATAGCTCAGATTTATACGGATAACCCTTAGATAGGACCACAAGGACTTACAGTATTGCTCCCGCCGGCAGGTTTTATAGGGGTCAGATTTATAGTTGACTGTGAATAGATCCAAACATAAATCCGACCCCCAAAAGTTCTATAGTAGGCCTTTTTGGCCTCTTATTTATCCATCAGATTTATGCTATCTGGATTCATAGTAATACTAGTATCAAAATTAATAATCCAAAGCAATATTTAGCATAGTTAATTGAAGTTCCATCACACAATATACATAAAATTACCATTTTATTGAACTCCAAGCACAATGTCCACGCCGCGGAGCAACGGCCACGATGGCGACGGCGGCGTCAGTGAACTGTGCTGCGCTTATACGATAACCCCTGTCGATGCTTCAATTGGACGTCTGAACGCCACCGACTTTCACAGTCCTACGTCAAGTGACTGATGTGTCCACCTTGCTAACACCGCCGCCGCCACAGCCCTCAGCATCACATCGACAACTAAGTCGCCCCGATTCTAAGGGCGGTGATGGCGGCATCAGTAGGATGAACGAATTAGTCAGCACTAGGTTGTTTTGTCGGAGCTCACATCACAGTTGGCTCATCGTACGAGAATATGCTACGAAAATGGATAAGTTCAAGGGTGTACCCACTTTTTAGACGGGTGAGATCATTCGCGGCGTCGAACTGCGGTATGCGCATCGACATGCTAGATTTCTACTGTAACGTTTGATTGAATGTGATGTAATAGTCGTCAGTCATATGGAATTCATTTGTTGCCGCATTCATAGCAGCTACATGTAGTAAGAGTGTGGCGGCTGTGTGTGTGAATCGGAATAAATCTCATGGGTGGGGAAAGTGAGATTTATCCATTGGACTCCAATAAATCTATCTGTTATCCGAACATTATCCGAATAAATGTCATTCGATAAATCCCACGGGTGGAGCTGCTCTTACCTGAGGTCGTCTCCTTGACCCAAAGATCGTTCGAGCAGTGCTCAAGCGCCAGTCGCCGCATACGAACAACAGCTCACCATAACCGCCCCACCAAGCGAGCGACGGTGATGTATTCGGCTCGCATTACTGAGATGGAATAAAGCAGACATGTAGTGCCTGCTCCTTGCTGTCCTTTGGTCATGTCGTGGTGGGCGACTTCATCCAGGTCCCGCCATGACACAGGTGGTTCTCAACCGAGGCCACCGGGTGCCGACCCTGGGCGAACCGACATGGAAATGCGTAGTATTAGACCTCTTGTTCAGTGACGAAGTTTCAAGTCAGAACGTGGTTAGTGATCATCCATCAAGGCATTGACTAAGTTGTGTATAAGTGCTCATTTATTTCATTATTTTTTATGTTATTGAATCAATTCGTTGTCGATTGCCGAACTGATCATTTGAACGATCACAACAAAACATATGATTTTGAAATCCACGAAACGGTAGCAGAACAAGAGGTCCATACTCTTACTAGTACGTATAAAAGATATCTTGTTCACTTGAGTACGGAACATTTGAACCATCAAGGGCCCACCGAAAGATGTACTTTTGGGGCTAGTATTTGCATCAGTTGATGTAGCTACAGTATAGGGACGAACGTTCTCCCTGGTGATGACACCACCGCGAAATTCCATTCTTGTTCGGTTCTAAAGAAACCTGTACCTCAAGACACAAAACGTGCATTCTGCAATGGCTA